CAAATAGTGCTATAGAAGTAGTTTGGAAGAGTGATTAAGACTAAAAATTAAAACGCTGGAAGCCAAAAGAAGAATCAATGAAAACGCTCTAATGTGACTCCAGCTTTTTGAGTCTCTAGTGCCTGCGAATGCAAACACATGTCCTCAGCCAGATTTAAAGCTCTCGGACAGCATGGAAGGCGCTCCTTCACTAGCACAATGCTGGGATTCAGGGGATGAACCTGACGGAATGGAAGAGGCAGAATTTATTGGTGAAAACAAGACAGCCATGGTGACTTTTCCCCTTTAGTTCCAGACCCTAATCCAGAATCCTGAAGGGTACTGGCAGGACTCTCGAGGGGAGCCTTCAGGCACCTAAAGACTCTCACATGTTTTTATTCCTTTCAAGTGCGTGCTATTGTTTTCTTAGAGCAAAAATACAGTACAGCCTAGCAACTAACATGTATTTTCTCCACATCCTTGAAAGAACCACATGGGAATAACTGAAGAGTTTGATGCTGCTCTGAGGTCTGGCCACCCCCCCCCCAACAAAAATATAATGAACGTTCGTTACACGGAATTTGGGATGTGCCCAGCAGTCTTTCCTGAGTTCAAAGTGCTTAATCTCATTAGCTATCAGATACCATGTCTAATCCAATGTTCAAACTCATGTCTGCTGCATAATTGGGTTCAATGAGTGCACTTAACAATAAAGCAGGTACTGGCCCCAGAGAGTTCTACATCCTTGAAGACTCCACAGAGGGAAGGGATCAAAACCTCATGCATTTCTGATTATAGATTGGAAAACAAATCAGATCCAAACCCAAGCCAACTTCGGCCATAATGGTGTCATGGTTCAGCAGCACCCTAGGTGCCAAGGTCTCCTACACAATAATCTCTATGTCCATCTGTACATTCATATATGCACCATTTATTTATTGACCATGTACTGTGCACTATTTTTGCTGAGTACTTGATGGGAAATCGATCCCAGTGTGAAAATCAGTTCTTGCTGTCATGGAGCTCAGAATCTAGGTGACTCTGGTAAAAGAATGTGGACTGACCTGTTTCACTCAAAAACATCGTGACCTTACTGTTTATTTCCTGGAATCCCAAGTTATCAACAGTATTTCTTTATTTGGTCTAGAAACGTAATTCGAATTCTTCTTCATCCAATCTTGAGCCTTACTTCACAGTGCTTGCCCATATAGCACCTCACCGGCAGCCCAGCCCATCCATGACTACGACCTCCCTGAGCCTCGATACTGTCAGAAAGGAGGAGCTTCATGCCATCCCTTCTGCTAACTGAAAACTGAGGCAACTCATGTAATCATCCCAAACAATGCCCAGAGGTAGGCAGTACTGCAGCCCTTTCTAAAGACCAGAGGCTCAGAGAGACGTCAGTGAGAAAGTGGGTCAGTAGCAGAACTTACTTTCAAAATTGGGTTGACTGACCCAAAGGGCACTGCTCACCCATGCACTGCACTCCTACAGGTTCCTAACGGAGCAGCCCGCGTGAGAGAGGCTATAAGTCAAATGGTATAGGCTACACCCTAAGACATGCGGTGTGTTTAGTCATTTCCTGGCAGTGTGGTCTCAGGTATGATACCTAATGGCTCTGAGCCTAAGCCTCAATTTCTTCCTCCATTCAAGGTGAGATAATGCCTACTTGTTAGAACTGCTAGGAGGATTTTGACATGCTTGACACATATTAGGCGCTAAAACCAATGTTAGTGGTAATGATGATGTTGGTGATGGCCTCACTGAGATCAGAAGAAAGACAATAATAGGGGCCAGTGCTGTGGCATAGCAGGTGAAGCCACCGCCTGCAGTGCTGGCACCCCAAATGGGCACTGGTTCAAGACCCGGCCGCTCCACTTCCAATCCAGCTCTCTGCTATGGCCTGGGAAAGCACTAGAAGATGGCCCAAGTCCTTGGGTCCCTGCATCCTTGCGGGAGACCCAGAAGAAGCTCTTGTTTCATGGCTTTGCATCAGTAGAGCTCCGGCCATTGTGGTCAGTTGGGAAGTAAACCTGCAGATGGAAGACCTCTCTCTCTCTCTGCCTCTCCTTCTCTCTTTGTAACTCTTTCAAATAAATAAATAAAATCTTAAAAAAATAAAGACAATAATAACAACTGATACCTAAAACACTCCTGTAGACAGCTGCAAATGCCCTGTAAAAAAGACACCTGCAGACAGACAGACAAATACTTCCAAAGACAGAAAATATATTTGTTTTCCAGGTGAGAATCATTTTTAAAGAGATGGTTGCTTTATCAGTGCATTCGGAGTTGGTTTGTTTGAACACGTCTTCAGAGAAAACCATTAAAGTCTGAGTAGAAGATGCTGCGTGAGAGGTAGGGGAGGCAGAATGCAGTCTCCGGGCCCCAGCAGCAGATGCTGGTTTACAGGGCATCCTGGGACCTTGGAGAAAAGCAGGGGTTGTCCTACCACCACCGCATTGACCTGAGTATTTGTCTAATCAAGGAAGTCATTTGAGAGGAAGGAAAGGACTCAAATCCAGTTTAACAGATACATTAGTTCTATGACAATTCAATGTAATTATTATTTATTTAGACATCCCACAGGTGCCTCAACTGCATAAATCTATGTTCTGTTGAGGGCTCAGGAAATGACTGGGGCTTAATGCAGTTTAACTAAGACATAACAATCTCCCATACATCCCACCCCCACTTGTCCTTACCCCAGGTATCTGAAACTACTCTTTAAGCCTGACCACACAGCACACACAGCCCCCACACCCACACCCAAGAAAAGGCAGGGCAGCGCCTTTTTGATGAGGCCCCCAGAGGATGGGGAACCTGTCTGGAGGGCATAGGATTCTCCACAGTCGATTGGAATGATGGCAGCAGAGGCCATGTTATCCAACCTCAGCTCCAGGCTCAGACCACTGAGTGCTGAAGATGTTGCGATCACCCAAATCCATAGCACCCTAAGCACTCGGGAACTGACACCAAGGTCCTCATGGCTGGGAGGATCAGGCCCGGACACCAGAACTGGGGAAACACAATGGTAGGAGGCCAGGCCTTGGGCAATGTAAAAAAGAAACAAGCAATACTACACAGCAGTTTAAAAAAAATAAAAAAGTGAAATCCAGTCATTTGCAACAAAATGGAGGAATCTGGAAAACATCATACTTAGTGAAATATGCCAGTCCCAACAGGACAAATACCATATGTTCTCCCTGATCTGTGATAATGAACAGAGCACCTAAAAGGAAATCTGTAGAAGTGAAATTGACACTTTGAGAAGCAAAGGGCTGAGAATAGCATAGCCCTTATCTTAACTATCAAGGAATAGTTTTTTTTTTCTCATCTTCATACTATTTGTTGAACTCTTTAATTAACAGAGTTAATAAAATGTGTATAAAGTCAATTGAAAATAGATCTCAGTAAAAAATAAGAGTGGAAATAAGAGAGGAGGAATTTTGTAACTGTAAAGCTGTATAGTTCTGCATATATTCCTATGGACTTACCTCTAAGGATAGTTTAAAAACTTGCCATGGGAACCCAAATCCCATTAAGCTGGATGGTAAAAATATCATCTTAAGTGTTAAAATGATCATATAGACAGTATTAAATGTTAAAGGGATCATATAAATGTCTGATAATAATAATATAATTAAAAAGGAGAGAATGTTCCAACATGGGAAGGAGTCCACACAGAGGACACACAGAATGACAATCACTTTAAATAACACTTTGACCTCAGAATCAGCCCTTAATGCTTTCTGGTCTGGCTGCCAAGCCCATGAGAGCATTTCAGGCATGGAAAGCCAAGACAGTCTGGCAAAAAATGTCCTACATGAAGGATTTCTGTGAGACCCCAGTGGAAAGAGGGGGATCAAAGAAAGATGTACTTTTCTCTGAAGAGAGGAGAGAACTTCCACTTCGCTTATAGCCTCCTCTACATACTGATGGAGACTGTGGATTCAAAAGGCTTCCATAGCCTTGGCAGCTCATTTCAAGAGCCTCAGGTGATCACTGATGTCATATATAAAAGTGTTAATAGCTAAATTAACAACAGGAGTCACTGTGCACTTATTTCCCATGCAGGACTTCTGTCCTCAATGAGTTATATTATGAGAGTTAACTGTGAAACTTGTTCTCAAACAGTGCAAATTATTAAAATTTTTACTTAGTATAGAGTTGATCTTCTGTGTATAAAGTTAATTGAAAATGAATCTTAATGGAGAATGGGACTGGGAATGGAAGAGGGAGGAGGAGGTGAGGTGGGAGCATGGATATGGCGGGAAGAATCACTATATTCCTAAAGTTGTACTTATAAAATTTGTATTCCTTAAATAAAAGGTTTCTTTGGGGAAAAAAAGAAAGAAAGAAACGGTCAAGAAAGGAAGGGCAGGTATGAACCAATCCACATATACCAAAGTGGTGTTGGGCTTACTAAGAGACACCCGCGGCCCCATCTATTCCCACTGCCCAGAGATCTAGGGAGTCTCACTGTGGCATCAGGGAAAGTGAGAAGACAGCTGCCTCCTACCTCTTTCCTCACTGTGCATTCTGTGCCTCCTACCCCAGGGTTAGTGTGGATTCCATGACCATGCATTCACCTATGTTCCCTATTGTTTTGTCAGCAATTTTGCAACAGATCCCAAATACTGGAGTTCAAGGCACTTACCAATCTTGAGAGGCATCCAACTGAAATCACATGAACCTACAAATTAAGATTGCACTTCCACAAAGGACAAAAGTAATGGGTCCACTACATTACCAACAATCCCATCTGTAACAAACTGGAGTGTGTCGGTTTCTTTTAAACATCATACCTTTGAGTGATACATTCTCGGTTATTAACCAAAAACATAATTATCCCTTTGGTTTGAATAAATAATACCTCAAGTTCATTGATCACAGGCTGGATGCAATTTAGTCACTGGCTCCTTGCCTCCTCACTTTGTTACCCCCTGCCACTAGCCCCTCACTCACTCCTGAGACCTAAGGCCCACTACAGAGCATGGGTTGCAAGGGACTCCACGTACCTCTGTCCAAACATCAACGTGGACTTGGTCTCCGCCTCATTGAAGACAGAAGGAGAACAGCAAATGACAATAGTGGTCCTACAGTTCCCACCCAGTGAGTCCTGGAGAATTCGAGTCATCTTACTGTCCCGGTATGGCACATGTGTTTTCTGTGTTGGAAAAGAAAAAGTATTAGCGGATGTCCTAAACAGCACTCTGGCCTCAGAATCAGCCCTTAAGGCATTCAGATCTGGCTGAAAAGCTCATGAAAGTATTTCAGGCATGGAAAGCCAAGACACTCTGGCAAAAAAAAAAAAAAAAAAAAAAAACACCTAAATGAAAGATCTCTGCTAGTGAGATCCCAGTGGAAAGAACAGGTCATCAAAGAAGGAGGTACCTTTCTCTGAAGGGAGGAGAGAACTTCCACTCTGACTATGACCTTGTCCAAATATGATCAGAGTCAGCAAACTCAAAAGGCTTCCATAGCCCTGGCAGCTCACGACAAGAGCCTAGGGTGATTACTGATGCCATAAACAAGAGTGTCAATTTGTTAAGTCAACAACAGGAGTCACTGTGTACTTACTCCTCATGTAGGTTCTCTGTCCTTAATGTGCTATACATTGTGATTTAATGTTACAACTAGTACTCAAACAGTATTTTTCACTTTGTGTTTCTGTGTGGGTGCAAACTGTTGAAATCTTTACTTAATATATACTAAACTGATCTTCTGTATATAAAAAAAAAAGAAAAAGTATTGGTTTTGATAGCCCATTCTAAGAAACAAACCCAGAGGCAAGCAAGTTAGGGAGGAGCTTAGAAACACGCGTGAAGTAAGAATTGGCCTCTGTGCCTTTGACTCTCTTTCCCCAGTTTAATGATTAATGAATGGTGACGGGGGGGGGGGGGGGGGGAATGGGAATAGGAAATTAGCACCACCATTCAGTTTTTGATGAATTAGATTGTCCCAGCAGGCAAGTGGCCAGGCCAGGATCTCCTTGGTCATCTTCCAGTTGGGAAAACAGAGGACTCTCAGATGTGTGGCAAAGGGAATATGCATACCCAAAAGGAAACATCATGACATTATTTAATACACAGCGACAGGATCACTTACTGTCCCTTCTGCCAAGGCAGAGATCACGTTTCCAAGAGCAGACAAAGACTTATTGATATTTTTAGCTTCATCCAGAACAGCTCCCTCGGCACCAGTTTTGCTGACCTACCAGAGAGAAGAGAAAGCAGTGAGCTGCTCAAGAGAGCAAAAGTGCAAGGGAGAAAATTCCCACTCATTCGTGGGCATGGGGGAGTTCCTCCTGGAAGGCGAGGGAAAAACAAAAGTAAATAAGAACCACTTTGATGAAGCCGTCCCTCGTGCCCAAGGCTGGGGATTCAGTCTCTCCTGCTTGTCATTTTCCTCTCAATTAGGTTTTAGTGGAATGGCAGAAATGCCTCAAGTGCTGAAGCTGCAGACGCTTCCCCAGAGGACATCCATCCAGAGAAACCAGGCTCCAGAAATGCTGTCACCACGGGCAGGCTCGGGTCCTCAGAGACAGAACCACTGTCTCCATGCCAGGGGGAGGCCAGAGGGCCAAATTCAGAGCACACACGGCCCTGGGCACGATGAGTGGGCACAGGAAGGACACTGCAAATTACAAGCTTAGAACTCTGCCAAAAGACTACTGGTGCAGGGCACACTTGTCCACACCCTGCTCCCTGCCTGCTTACTCCCCTAGCAAGGAAAACGGGGATCAATCATCCCAAAAGGCAAAAAAGCTGAGAGGCAGGGAAAGTCAAGAAAGCATACGCTGCACTATAAATCTGTCTCTTTTTCCTCTGCAGCCAGAGGGGCATGCACGCTCCTCCTCTATCATGTTGTTACAGGTAATGTCCCATCTACAGCACTTGCTCTCGGTGGAGAGCAGTTCACAGACGCTAGGGAGAAAAGGAGCTCTGCATGATTCATTTCTCTGCTGAAAGGACTAATGACACAGGTGAGCGGCTGTGCTCAGAAGAAAGGAAAGAGGAGGGGAATAGTTTTAAACCGCATCAAGATGGATTTCAGTTACACATAAAGGAGAGTCCTAATGACTGAAGTGAATGCATGTCCAGGCGCAGGGCGCCTCTCTTGGCAGTGTGTGGATGTACCCCTGCTCACAGACACAGATCACGTGGTTGATGGGTCACAAATAAGGCTATTGAAACAGAGCTTCTTAAACACATTTTCATATTTCAGCATCTCAACTCCATGAAATATACCAGGCAGGTCTTATCTATCACCTTCCTTCTACAGACAAGGAAAATGGAGCTCCAGTGACATCAGACTGCCAGCCTCAGGGAAGGATAGCAGGTCGCAGAGTGGGGAACAACAGCTCAGCACTCTGTGCTGCAAGATTGAGCTGGCACATGCATGTGGACACATCCAGGCAAAGGAAAACCAACGTGAACAAAGGAAAACATGCCAGCACTACCACTTTAAATCCCTCAGAAACACAAGGGGCTCTGCAGAAAGTTCACGGAAAATACATATCATGAAAAAATATATTTTACACCCAAATAAATTTACCTTTTCATTCCATTTTCCTATGAACTTTTGAATTCACATCATTAGCAATAACGCAACACTGTGCAGAGGCAGGTCTTCACTATGATCTGCCAGCGTGAGGCAGTTTTCAGGTGTATCTGGACCCTAAGTACTCATCCCTGTGCGTGGCAAGAATGAAGGTGCCATCAGGCTCTTTACGCCGACCCATAGATGGCATGGCCGGAAAGCTTTTCAGCCGTCAACAGTCAGTCGGGAACACAACAGCACTGCTTTGTAACTTCGAAGCTACAAGCCCACACCAGCACAATGTTGGACTCCCAACCAGGAATATCCAAAGGATCTTCTGCTCATAGCCCCACAAATGCAAAGGGGAGGGAAACTTAAGGAATTATGACTTAGACAGATGCTAGAGGACATAACTTGGCAAATGGGAACTCAGTGATGTGGTGCAGCACATCACTGGGGGTCAGTGGGGGTCAATGATACAGCGAGGGAGACTGACCAAACCTCAAGGCTCACCCTGATGGCCACTAAAGGCATGATGGCAGTGACAAGGGAGGAAAAGGCACTGTGCAGGTGCATCTGCTCTGAGATGTTGCCCAATGGGGAAAGATTCCCCAGCCATGGTGTGGCAGCAGGAGTCTCCATTGGTGCTACAGAATTGAGGCTGGTAAGGGGCAGGTGGGAGATTCTAGGAAGCCTACTTGGGAGGCATGGGATGGGGTACAGATGCCAAAAGAAAGTCCTGACAAAACCAGAGACCAGTCAGGGTTTGTGGCTAAAAGAATGAGCACAGGACTCACAGCCTAAGGAACCAAGGCCGCCCTCAGAAGATAGATCAATCCATGCCCACTGCCAGGAGAACCAGGAAGAGGCCGAGGTTACACAGATTTTATCAGCAAAACAGAGCCACAGAGGCAGAGCTGCTGCTTCCCACGGCAAAGCCATTCCCTGGCCTAGCTGAGCCTGGTACACAGGGCATCTTCCCTTTTCTCAGACATTCATGCCCCTTCCACATTGGCACAGCTGTCCTTGTCAGGACACGTTCAGACCAACACTTGACTAACGTTGTCACCAGGGCCTGTTCGGCATAAATCACCATTAGCATTCAGAGCATCTGCCTGTGATATGAACAGGGAACTTCAGGACCAGAAAATAAAGAGCAGGGAAACAAAGGTTAAATTTAATAACACCTTGGCACAACATCAGAAACTTAAAAAGCTTTTTAAAATAGGGAATAGAAAGGCATAAAAACCACGCCATTGCACGCTGAAGCAAATAACAGGGGAAATTATAGATAACACAAATAAAGAACCAATTACCTTTTCGCTCCCAGCCAAATCAACCAAATAAAGCTTCCCACTGAGTTTTTTTTCAGTCTCCACATTCTCTTGTTTAATATTAATCAGGAAGATACTGTGACTTCTAGAGCTGTGTTCATTCATGTCTGAAAAGGAAAATAGTTTACTGCGCTACAAAAAAACACATAAACTGAGATGGCAAACCTCTCGACTAAAAAGCGCAATAAATCATGCCTTCCCAGTCAGTTGTGAAAACCACCTGAGACACACTGTTTCCTCTTAAAAACAAGCTCACTCTTGAAAAGCAAGATTTAACATATCTTCAAGTAGCAGAGAAATTCATCTAAAAATCTTGGTCAACAGCTTGAGATACTCTAGCTCTGCCTGAAGCCCACATTCTACCGCAGCCTGACTCTCCTTCAGTATGTAGCTTTTTCCCCTGCCTCACTTTAAATCTCACAGATGCTATTATCTTGATTAGTACCTGATATATTCTAGCTCAGTCACGTATGGAAGCCTGACCTTATCAGGAACAGTATAAGCTTCCTTAAGGAAGGATTAAGACTTTCTTAAGGAAGGATTAAGACCTACACCTCTTCTGCAACTCATGTTAAGTGCATAGAAGATCTCAAAGATTAAAAATGCCCCCATTAGGATGGAGTACTAGAAATAAAGTTCCTTGAAAACCCTGGCCAGTCAACCAGGCAGAAACAGAGGCCCACAATGCAACCCTCACCAGCAATCATTGCTCAAAACCACCTCACCAGATATGTAAAAAGTCCTAAAGAAACCTTCTTAAGAAACTGTTAGGACTGTTTAACAAAGCATACAAAATCAACACATAAAAAATCACTCACATTTCTATATCACAATAATCCAAAAAGTAAATTAAGAAAATGCCATTTACAATAGGAACAAAAATAATAAAATATTTAGGAATAAACTTAAAAAAGGAGGTAAAAGTTTTGTACACTGAAAATTAGGAAATGTTGCCAAAAGATATTAAAGAAAACACAAATAAATGGGAAGACATCCCATGTACATTGGAAGACTTACTCTGGCAAAATGGCAACACCAGAGGCCAGTGTTAGCACAGCAGGTTAGCAGTCTCCTGCGACAATGGCATCCCATATGGGTGCCAGTTCATGTTCCAGCTGCTCTATTTTCAATTCAGCTCCCTGCTAATGTACCTGGGGAAGCAGCGGAAGATGCCCAAGTGCTTGGGCCCCAGCTACTCACATGAGAGACCCAGACGAAGCTCTTGGCTCCTAGCTGTTGCAGCCATTTGGGGAGGGAACCAGTGAATGGAAGATCTCTCTCTCACTCTCTCTTTCTCTGTCTCTGTCTGTCCCTCTCTCTCTGTAACTGTGCCTTTCAAATAAATAAATAAATCTTCAAAATGTCAACACCATCCAAAATAACCCACATGTTCAATGCAAACACTATCAAAATCTCAGTGACAGTTTTTGTAGAAACAGAAAATTCCTTCCTAAGATTCATACAGAATCTCAAGAGATCTTGAATAGCCAAAACAATCTTGAAAAGTAAGAACAAGGTTGGACACCTCACAGTTACTGCTTTCGAAAGTTACTACAAAGCAACAGTAATCAGAACAGTGTGGTAGCAGCAAAAGACCAACATACAGACGAACAGAACAAAATAAAGAGCCCTAAAATAAACTCCAGCACATCAGTCAAATAACCTTCATCAAGGGTAACCAAAAAGTTCAAGGGGGAAATGACAGTCCTTTCACCAAATGGTGCTGCAACATTTACACATAAAAGTCTCAAACCATACACAAAAACTGGTTTGGTTCAGAAAGGAAAATATAAGATTCTTTGAGGAAATCATAGCACCAGATTTGGCAATGATTTCTTGGATAAGACACTAAAAGCATAAGTGCAATAGATGGATGGAAATGATGTTAACACACAATGAGGATGTGTTTAATACCACAGAGCTGCATAGTTAGCTAATGTTCTGAAGCAGCAGATCTAAATTAAGGAACCGAAAGGTATACTGTGAATAATAATTAGTCATGAATAATTCGTGACTAACAACAGCTTATGAAACAGAATGAACTACTTTTTTGCCAAAACAGATATATTACTGATATAAGCATATCAGTATTGGGCAGCCATGTGGCACACTGGTTAAACAGGGCGTGGGACATCCTTATCCCATAGCAGTGTGGCTAGGTTTCAGTCCCAGGCTCTGCTAACATGGACCTTGGGAGATAGTACAGGTAGTGGTTCAAGTACTTGGGTCTCTTCCATTCATCTCGGAAACCTGGATTGGGTTCTCAACTCCCAGCTTTGGCCTGGATCAGCTCTGGCTATTATAGGCAACTGGGGAATGAGCCAGTGGATAGGAGATCTCCTTCTCTATCCATCTGTCTCACTGCCTTTCTAGTATATAAAATAAAGATTGTTTTTTAAAAACAATCTTACACTCTTCCCTGTGTACATGTTTTAAGCAAGAGGGAAAGAAGTGAAGTCTGACCACACTGTATACAAGTTTAGGCTCTGGGGCTGGCACTGTGGTATAGTACGTAAAGCATCTGCCTGCAGCATCAGCATTCCATAGGGGCACCAGTTCTAGTCCCTACTGCTCCTCTTCCAATCCAGCTCTCTGCTATGGCTTGGAAAGCAGTAGAAGGTGGCCCAAGTCCTTGGGCCCTTGCACCCAGTGGGAGACCTGGAGGAAGCTCCTGCCTCCTGACTTTGGCTTTGGATCAGATCAGCTCCATCTGTTTGAGGAGTGAACCAGCAGATGGAAGACCTTTCTCTCTGTCTCTCCCTCTCTCTATCTGTAACTCAGCCTCTCAAATAAATAAATCAATCTTTAAAAAAAAAAGTCTAGACTCACCTATGAAATCTGCCACACATATAAACATCATCAGACACACTCTTGGGGTAGAGAAAAGGCTGGATCACAGAATCATAGAACCTCAGGTGGAAGAGACTTAAAGAGCTGAGATGAGCCTCTTCTACAACAGGATAGTGAACTCACTCTCTCTCTAGGAGCAGGCTTTAGTTGGGGCAGCCATAAGGATTACAGAGTTCTTATGGCAAATGAAAATCTATCCTCCCTAGTGGTTAAGACACTGCTTCCTAATAATGTATACCCTGGGAAGAAGCAGGTGATGGCTCGACTACCTAAAAAGCTGCCACTCACATGGGACAAATGGACTGATCTTCCAGCTGGGTCTCAGATTCAGCCTGGTACAGTCCAGGCTGCTGTGGGCATTTGTACAGTGAACCAAAAGATGGGAGCCTTCTGTTTGTTTTTTTGTCTCTGACTTTCTCTCTCAAATAAATAAAATGAACTAATTTTTTAGAAGCTATGCCTCCCAAGAACCTCAGCAATCCTGCAAGTCTACCCATTGAGACCAAACAGAGCAAGCTGACCTTCTGACCCAGGGTCGGCACCTTCAACTGCTCACATGTCCTCCTCAGATGTTTCTCCCCTCCAACTTCCTCTTTTGGTGAACTTACTTTCATTTGGCCACATCCTTCTATGCCTACCTAACCTTTTCATGGAACCTCTGCCGCTCTAGTACCATATGTGCTGCTTGTCTAAGATGCCTATGCTGGCCGGCGCCGTGGTTCACTAGGCTAATCCTCCGCCTAGCGGCACCGGCACACCGGGTTCTAGTCCCAGTCGGGGTGCCGGATTCTGCCCCGGTTGCCCCTCTTCCAGGCCAGCTCTCTGCTGTGGCCCGGGAGTGCAGTGGAGGATGGCCCAAGTCCTTGGGCCCTGCACCCCATGGGAGACCAGGAGAAGTACCTGGCTCCTGCTATCGGATCAGCGCGGTGCGTGGGCTGCAGCGCGCCAGCCGCGGCAGCCATTGGAGGGTGAACCAACGGCAAAGGAAGACCTTTCTCTGTCTCTCTCTCTCTCTCACTGTCCACTCTGCCTGTCAAAAAAAAAAAAAAAAAAAAAAAAAGATGCCTATGCTGGGGAAGGTAGTGCCCAGCAAATGAGCCAATAAGAATGCATCTGCTATTAACCAGCATTGGAACGTTACCAGAAAGCTCCAAGTTCTGCTTTCTAACTTCCTCCTTGCCTTTCTTTTCCTCTTATATGAATGGCATGCAGAATTTGTTGGCTTGGATTTTTTTAACCTGAATACTAACATGGTTAAAATAACATTCAGGCTTAAGCTGTTATCAAGGTCCATAGTCTCAATCAGTATTTCCATAACCTCAGAGTACTACGCACAGTCAACAGCACCTTTCCCAAAACCTGCCCTGGACACCCTGGGACTACACTTGTTCTGATGTCTGGGTTCAGCTCACCATTCACCACACACCTTGCCATGTATTGCTTCATTTATACCTCACCTCCACCTGTGCTGGGTGGGAGGCAGACATCTGTATCCTAAGTGACAGGGGAGGAAACACCACCAGTGTGCTTACTTGTTACAGCCACATGTCGGTTTGCTTTGCCTTCGTCTATCACGTCCATGACCTCCTCGGGACTTGACACAAACCTCTCGGTGCACCCCTGGAAGAAGCACAGCAAGTGAACCATTAAAAAAGTTGTAAAGCAATAATATTTTGAGATACCTCAACATTTTTCCATTTCTCTTCTACAAATGCAGATAAATGGGAAGGCTACAATGTTGAGCCAACAACTTTCCCTTCTTGAATTCTAGGTTTCCTAAAAAGTAAACCACGAAGAAATGCCGAATTTTCCTAGGTACCTGAGTACATATTCATACGTAACAACAATATTGTCAGGAGACAGACCATAAAACAAGAAAATCAATGATAACATGAAGTTTCTTTTTGCATTCCATCTTTATGTATTTGCCATTTTCATCAACATTAGACACTTTGAAGTTCTAGACAGAATGCTATTAAGACTTCCCTTAACTGCAAAGTATAAACTGTTGTATTCAATACCAAAACTTCTTTAAATGTGAATAACATCAAATAATAATATTGAAATCATAAGTTTATATAAATAAATGATGTTATTGAAGAAATTAAATGTTGATTTTAAAGCAGATGAATATCAAATGCAAGGAACATGAGTAAACATCTCTATACCCTTTATAGATAATATTCTGGACATCTTGTGTAATAGTTATTACAACGGTTTAACAGGGGAGAAATAGGTTGCACCACCAATCAAGTCTTCTTCATACCTTTACATATGGGACTCTGTTTTTATCTTCATGAACAGCCAGGTTGGTCTTGGACACTAAAGAGATGATGAGGAGAAAAAAGTTAAAGCGCTTACATTGGAGGAAAAAATAGAAATTGTTAAGAAGATAGGTAAACCTAATCTACCTACAATATGCAAACTTAAACCTTGGCTTAGAATGAGCATGGAGCCTAAAGGCAAGAGAACATTTCTCTAAACTTGCAGAAGTCCCATGAATCATTTCAATCTCCCCTAGATTTAGGTTACAGAGCACATGAAGGACAAGTACTCAGGCTACTCACCATCAAGTAAGTCCCTTATTTTGTCCAAGTAGATCTCAAAATACGAAACCTGGTTAAAAAAAATGAGTTTAGAATAGAAATGCCAACTGGATTTCAAAAATATCACTGTGAGAACACACAGAAGCTTTGGTCACACATGGCGAAGAGGAGGAAAATGAAGACACAAAGTAAAGACTCAGGGCAGTGAGGGCAGAGCCACAGGCAGCTCTCCGTGTTCCCTCTGCCTCCCGCCTCCTCAGCCTGCCCTGCGTGTCCCCGCCAAGTGTGGACCACTTTCCAGCCCCATATGTCACAGCTCCTGTAACCTCCAGGCAGCCACTTACAGGAAGAATCCAGGGTTTGCCTTAGATGGGCACCAAGCAAATTTCTATACATGACAACAGCCAGAACAAGAAACACCCTCTGCAAATAATTTTCTTTTTTTTAAGATTTATTTAGCGCTGTGGCATAGCAAATTAAGGCACCGCCTGCAATGCCAGCATCCCATATGGGTGCCGGTTCAAGTCAGGCTGCTCCACTTCCCATCCAGTTCTCTGCTATGGCCTGGGAAAGCAGTAGAAAATGGCCCAAGTCCTTGGGCCCCTGTACCCCTGTGGGAGACCCGGAAGAAGCTCCTGGCTCCTGGCTTTGAATCAGCACAGCTCCGGCTGTTGTGGCCAATTGGGGGGTGAACCAGTGGATGAAAGACCTTTCTCTCTCTCTCTCTCTCTCTGCCTTTCCTTCTCTCTCTGTGTAACTCTGCCTTTCAAATAAATAAATAAATCTTTTAAAAATTTATTTATTTATATGAAAGGCAAAGTTACAGAGAAGCAGAGAGAGAGAGAGCGGTCTTTGATCCGCTGGTTCACCCCTAAATGGCTGCAACAGCCAGAGCTAGGCCAATCCAAAGCCAGGAGCCAGGAGTTTCCTCCAGGTCTCCCACATGGATGCAGGGGCCCAAGGATTTGGGCCATCTTCTACTGCTTTCCCAGGCCATAGCAGAGAACTGGATGGGAAGTGAAGTAGCTGGGACTCAAACTGGTGGCCATATGGGATGCTGGCATTGCAGGTGGTGGCTTTACCCACTACACCACAGTACCAGCCCCTGCAAATAATTTTCAAAACTCAGTGGGCCTCATCCTATTGCATGATACTGACAAGCCTTAGCAAATCCAGCGGTGGGTACAGTCCAAACATGTGCCCAAAGGAAGCAGGCAGGGGTTAAGGGCAGTGTGTTTGGAACCACACAAGCTCAGGAGGGTAACTGGGACAAGAGCTGTGAAGGCTGGGTTGGCAGGGTACAGGAAGGATCTGAACAAAATGCCACAGAATAGAAAACAACTTGTCTAAGAGAGAAAGGGAAGCCTTGCAATGACTTACTCTCAACCCTCATTCCCAGCACCTGGTTCATCAGCATCACCTACAGAATCCGCTTACACCGTAGCGCCCTGAGCCCTCCTGCAGCCCCACTGAACCAGAATCTCAGAGCCAGCTCTGAAATTCCCCCAGGTGACTCATAACACTGGCTGATGTCTGAGAACAGCTTAAACTAAACAGTGGTCTTGGGACTTAATTCACATATAACCAAAATCCTAGACCTCAATTTTCCTGTATGTCAAAGAAGCATTAGACTTTTATGATGTCAAAAATTCCCTCTAGGATTCTGCACTCTCTCTATCTGCCATCTGCTTCCAGATAAGCTTTTCCTCCCTCATGTTAATAAGTGGTTTTGAAATCTAAACAAGGGAATAGATCAAAAGGAAAATACAGTCACATATCACATAATGACATTTCAGTCAACAGTAGCCAGCATCGACCATAGTGGTCCCAAACAATTATATCACCTAGTGACATTGCAGCTGTCTTACTCGGTATAAGTACATTTCATGTTGTTCACAAGACAAAAAAAAAAAAAAAAACACCTAAACACCTAAAAATGCATCTCTCAGATCATGTCCCATACTGAAGCAATGCTTAACTGCCGTAAAGTTGTGAGGCTGGACTATGACTACACAGATGAAAGCTTGCCCTACATCCCAGCTCTGGACCAGTCCTGCCTCCATTTAGGAGAATGACAAGGCTCTGTATCCCAGCTGCTGTGGTCCCAATCCCGGACTCAGCCCTGGCTAATTACTTTTTGTGTATCTCAGTTTGGAACCACCTGTGATTTGCGGTCCTGGCTTTAAACCCTGGAATCTGTACATGGGCAACCCTGACAACATCTGCCTATTTGAACATCTGGCAAACTCCCCATCATGAGCCCTGTCACACTCATGGACACACCCAGGTGACATTCAAAGGACTCACTGCTTGCAGCTTTCTCCATCTCTCTTGTGGTCACACTCCAATCCCAGCCACCTCAGACCTAACCCTTCCTGTGGCCAACTCACCTCCGGTCCAACCCATTTTCTTTATTCCAGAATTGTCTAGAGACATGTGCTTTCTCTGAGCTCTTAAATATAGTCCTTATTTCTATAGATTACAGAGAAAATTAATTATATCTAAAAAGCGGTCAGGAGCTACACATTGGCAAATCTGACCATTAGAATCCTGTTCACATTTTATGGAAGTGGAAACAGAATTCTGACGTATTAAGTTCTGCTTTTGGTGGGGCACAGAGAAGGTGGTTAATTTTGCTATTTTGTCATCTCAAATACTTTGTGAGACCAAGCAGAAGAATAAATGGGCATTATTTGGTATTAAACAATAGCATGTTCAGAAATAATATTTAAATTAAAAACTCCATGGGGCTCATTGTAAGTAGATTTTCACTGCTGCCTTAATCAGCCCACTTTTTCCTGATTTAGTGTCACTACTCAGTTCAAATATAGAGTACTCAACAGCTAACTTGTCCTTTTACAATTATTATTTATGAAACAAGTAAGCATAACTACAAATGTAAAACAGGAGCATGGGCTATAAAATCCAGGCTGAGAGACTTAGAAGGTGTTGTTCCTCCCCCTTCCCCGCTTCAGGCTGGGGCTGTTTTTATCTTAATAAGCTTCTAGCACAAGACCCTATTTTGAGGGCAGTAATTGGTTTAACATCTTATTCCAGGATTATCACATAAGAACCCTGCAGTAGTTGAAGGTATTTAAATGCAAACAGCCTTAAAGAAGTACTAAGCTGCTAAATCTTGATCCCATCAAAGCAACAAGCTTCTGTATCCTTGGATATAAAAAGCCTGGCAAGAAGGAGAAGCAGGCTTTAGCAACAAAGGGAACTAGAAGGCAAAGTGGTTTGTTGGATGTAATTTATAATGAGGCCAGTAGCGGTTACCTTCTCTCGTTTTTTCTAATTTAGGAAAGGTATACAGCAGAAATAGGCACAGAAAGAAGTCCAATGTAATAAAACAAGTTCTGGGTACAGGGCTGGTCAGATCTAGGATCTGTCTTTACCTCTGCCAAGAACTTAGTATATAACTTGGGCCATCTAACTCAGTGTCTCTGAACTTTGGCTTCCTCATCTCTAAATTGACAAGCCTGGTGCACTAAGGCTGAAGCCTTCAGGGAAGGCTCTTGGTTGATCTACTCAGCTCTGAATTTTCTTAGAACTTCCCCCTTCTCCTCCCCAGCCTGTCAATCCCCTCCCTCCTCACAATGCTGGGGTCCTGGACAGCACATGCATCCTGGACACAGCTAACTGGGACAGGGGCACCAACTCTAGGCTGTACCAGTGAGCCCCTTGCCAAGGGTTGTGAAACTGGCAATAAGGGCATATGGAGCTGGAGCTGCTGTTTTGCCCCTTCTCTCCCAAATAAAATAAAGATGGTCTGGAATCAGAGAAAGAAGACAAGAGGGCAGGAAAGCAGGGCCTGTGGTCAGTCAGTAGGAAGCTTCTTTTAGGGGGTAATGTTCAGGAATTAGATCATGATCATGATTGCAAAATGTGGAGCATATAGTAAAACCCACCAAACTGTATATTTTAAAGAGATTAATTTTACAGTGTGTGAATTATATCTCGATTTGTTTAAAAAAAAAGTTTTAAAAAAGAAAAAGGCAGGGATTAGATGCCCACTCTCTACCTGCCACCTCGATTCTCTAGCTTATAACAACGTCCTCTTGTTCAAACTATAGCTTTCAGTCATTTCAAAGGAATTCTAATGAACATACTCCAAATACCACATTGTATGATTTAATAGCTACAGTTAGAGTAAAAATCTGTCTCAACTCAAATTTAAGCCAAAATTGAGGTTTTGGTGTAAAACAAAAAGGAGAAAAAGGAAGAGGAGAATTTCCTTTCCAAACATGGCTGAGTGTGCTCCTCAAAACACTGGTCTGTAGACCCTAGGAGTGGGGGTGGGGTGGGATATGTGTCCACAGGGAAATGCGTCCCAGTACATGTCCCCTTTGCAGGGATGCATTATATAACAGCAGATACAAACCTGTGAGATGCAAACCTGCGAGAAATTTATCATGTTCAGTAAAGCTTTTTTTCCTAGTTTATTTGACCACATAAACCTTTCTTCTCATGGTTCACCTATTAATAAAAGGCATTTCTGATAGGTTTCCCTGTTTGCTGGCATACAAGTCCTTGTAGTAATTTTTGATGATTCTTTTTATTTCTGTGGTGTCTGTTGTTATGTTTCCTTTTTCATCTCTGATTTTATTGATTTGGGTCTTATCTCTTCTTTTTTTAGTTAGTTGGGCCAATGGGGTGTCAATTTTGTTTATTTTTTCAAAAAACCAGCTCAAAACCACAATAAAGTTTCACCTCACCCCGGTTAGAATGGCTCACATTCAGAAATCTACCAACAACGGATGCTGGCGAGGATGTGGGGAAAAGGGGACACTAACCCACTGTTGGTGGGAATGCAAACTGGTTAAGCCACTATGGAATTCAGTCTGGAGATTCCTCAGAAACCTGAATATAACCCTACCATACAACCCAGCCATACCACTCCTTGGAATTTACCCAAAGGAAATTAAATTGACAAACAAACAAGCTGTCTGCACATTAATGTTTATTGCAGCTCAATTCACAACAGCTAAGACCTGGAACCAACCCAAATGCCCATCAACAGTAGACTGGATAAAGAAATTATGGGACATGTACTCTATAGAATACTATACAATGAAATCCGATCATTTGCAACAAAATGTAGGAATCTGGAAAACATTATGCTGAGTGAATTAAGCCAGTCCCAAAGGGACAAATATCATATGTTCTCCCTGATCGGCGACAACTAACTGAGCACCAAAGGGGAAACCTGTTGAAGTGAAATGGACACTATGAGAAACAGTGACTTGATCAGCTGTTGTGCTGACTGTTGATGTACAATGTAATACTTTATCCCTTTTAGTATTTTTTTTGTTCTAGAACTATTGGTTGAACTCTGTAATTAACACACAATTATTCTTAGGTGTTTAAATTTTAACTGAAAAGTGATCCCTGTTAAATATAAGAGTGGGAATAAGAGAGGGAGGAGATGTATAATTTGGGACATGTTCAATCGGACTTGCGCCAAATGGTGGAGTTAGAAACGTGCCAGGGGATTCCAATATAATCCCATCAAGGTGGCATGTACCAATGCCATCTCACTAGTCCAACTGATCAATTTCAGTTCACAATTGATCACACTGATAGGTCTAAGAGTCAAAAGGGATCACATAAACAAGACTAGTGTCTGCTAATACTAACTGATAGAATCAAAAAGGAGAGAACGATCCAACATGGGAAGTGAGATACACAGCAGACTCATAGAATGGCAGATGTCCTAAATAGCACTCTGGCCTCAGAATCAGCCCTTAAAGCATTCGGATCTGGCTGAAGAGCCCATGGGAGTATTTCAGGCATGGAAAGCCAAGACACTCTGGGAAAAAAAAAAAGAAGACCTACATGAAAGATCTCTGTGAGATCCCAGTGTAAAGAACGGGGCCATCAAAGGAGGTACCTTTCTCTGAAGGGAGGAGAGAACTTCCACTTTGACTATGACCCTGTCGGAATAAGATCGAAGTCGGCGAACTCGAAAGGCTGCCATAGCCTTGGCAACTCATGACTAGAGCCTAGGGAGATTACTGACGCCATAAACAAGAGTGTCAATTTGTTAAGTCAACAAAAGGAGTCACTGTGTACTTACTTCTCATGTGAGATCTGTCTTTAATGTGTTGTCCAATGTGAAGTAATGCTATAACTAGTACTGAAACAGTATTTTACACTTTGTGTTTCTGTGTGGGTGCAAACTGATGAAATCTTTACTGAATATATACTAAATCAATCTTCTGTATATAAAGATAATTGAAAATGGATCTTGATGTGAATGGAATGGGAGAGGGAGCGGGAGATGGAAGGGGTGCGAGTGGGAAGGAAGTTATGGGGGGGAAAGCCATTGTAATCCATAAACTGTACTTTGGAAATTTATATTTACTAAATAAAAGTTAAAAAAAAAAAAGGCATTGTATTCCATGGAACATAACTTGGAGAATGTTGTCCTAGCCCAAACTCAGACACATTGCCATCATGTTTACAGAAATCCACAGGGTAAAGGTAGACTTCAAGCAACTATCAAGATCCTGAAGAGGGTTTGACTTTCTTATCTTGCTATTTCAAACAAATCATTCAGACGGCCAAGTGCTAGCTTGAGTCATTAAGTAGTACAGAGCACTCTGCTATCCCAGGAATGTCATTTACCTTAGACAAGAGTGAGAACCACAATGGCAGGGTCCAATTTCTTCTCCAGAGGCTCAGTCAAGGGCACTTACCTTGATGTGAAACTCCAGGTTCTCATCCATGGAGTAGATATGGTCAAAGATGTCGTGTGCAATCCTGGGGATGATCCCCATGAGCTGAGGGTCATGAAGCTTTCCCTAGTGAGTGAAAGATACAAACACAGGCAGTTAAAGGGTGCCAGGAAACATGGGTGAGAGAGAGAGCAGGGGCCATTCTTGGGTTTCTTCAACAGAACTCTGGAATACAGGGTATTCTGTGCCCAGGCGTGGGCTGTCAGCTGCCCTGGGGATTTATCGTGGTGCCAGCAGGCCACAAATTGGTTGGAATAACAATACTGTTGGTCTTTCTTTACCCAGCAGGGGAGCATTTGTTCTGTCACCTTCTGAGGTCCCACAATATTCCCTCTCACTGCCTTTCAGTGCAGCAAATCAGTGTGTCGTGCAGTAGGAATGAGGCCATATGGGTTTGCTTTTTGAATATGTACAGATTGGCTGGAAGCTACAAGTCCAGGTAAATCTATCACCTTTAAAGGAATCACCCTAGGGGCTGGTGTTGTGGCGTAACATATTAAACCAATGCCTGCAATGGCCTGAATCCCAAATGGGTACCTGCTCAACTCCTGGCTGCCCCATTTCTGACCCAGCTCCCCGCTAATGTGCCTGAGAAAAACAGCAGAAGACAGCCCAAGTGCTTGGGCTCCTGCACCCATGTGGAAGACCTGGAAGAAGCTCCTGGTTCCTGGCTTCAGCCTGGCCCAGCACTGGCTGTTATAGCCATTTGGAAAGTGAACCAGCAGATGGAAAATCTCTGTCTCTCCCTCTGTAACTGACTTTCAAATAAATAAATACGTCTTTAAAAAAATTATCTTGAAAACCAACAGTCAAAACTTCATGAATGTCATTCCCTCCTCAGAAGTTCCTAAGAACTTTATGCTTGAAACACCTGCAATATTGTTTTACAGACTAATCAAGGCAACCTGTTACATTGGTTTCTTTTGAAAATCTCTCACTGCTATTTCAGGCATGGAAAGCCAAAACACTCTGGAAAACACACACACACACACACACACACACACACAAAACCTAAATGAAAGATCTCCGCGAGTGAGATCCCAGTAGAAAGAACAGGTCATCAAAAAAGGAGGTACCTTTCTCTGAAGGGAGAACTTCCACTCTGACTACGACCTACGACTTTGTCTAAATATGATCAGAGTCAGTGAACTCAAAAGGCTTCCATAGCCTTGGCAACTCATGACAAGAGCCTAGGGTGATTACTGATGCCATAAACAAGAGTGTCAATTTGTTAAGTCAACAACAGGAGTCACTGTGCACTTACCCCTCATGTAGGATCTCTGTCCTTAATGTGCTGTACATTGTGATTTAATGCTATAACTAGTACTCAAACAGTATTTTTCACTTTGTGTTTCTATGTGGGTGCAAACGGTTGAAGTCTTTACTTAATATATGCTAAACTGATCTTCTGTATATAAAGAGAATTGAAAATGAATCTTGATGTGAATGGAAGGGGAGAGGGAGTGGGAAAGTGGAGGGTTGCGGGTGGGAGGGAAGTTATGGGGGGGGGAGCCATTGTAATCCATAAGCTGTACTTTGGAAATTTATATTCATTAAATAAAAGTCAAAAAAAAAAAAAAGAAAGAAAGAAAATCTCTCACTGCCATCTGAAATGTTCCGAGCAGTTTTTTGGCTGTTTCTAATATGAAAAAGATATGCTCATATTATTTTCCACCCTTTTTTGTCCACTTCTATCTCTTACATAAGGGGTGGAGGTATGAATGAATTCTTTCACTTCAACTGCTACGAAATCCAGCTCTAAGGGCCAGAATCAGCCTCCCCTGAGGACTCTGGAAAAGCGATGCCGCAGGCTCCGACTCCAGTTCCCCCACCAGAGCCCTAGACCTACGGAGAGCAGCCGCCTTACCAGAGCCCTAGCACCAGAGCTTCCAGAGAACCTTGTCAGCCCAAGTCACGTGAGCGCTCAGGTTCTCTCCTCGTGCTGAACAACCCAGCCATGCACAAACACACATCAGCAGTCTCAAGTGACAGCTGCACACCCAGAGAAGTTTCCAGACCTTTAGAATGCGAGGAAATGCCAGGAATAACCGGAACTGAAGAGAAGCACAAAACCCAGTTGGGTTTGGCCTTCTAGGGCCACACATTACTTTTACAATTCTGACCATATCCTCGTTCCAAATCCGCCCAGGTCCTCTTTTTTTCTATGTAGCTCCACCACACAGCACTTCTCTGAAAGTGACTTGCAAGCTAACATTTGAATTACCAAAGGCAAAAACTCCTATGAATGCCAACACAGGCCACAAATAACACCTGGCATCCTGGCATGGGGCCAGCACTGTTGCATAACTGCTGTCATCCCATATGGGCACAGGTTCGAGTCCCAGCTGCTACAATTCCCATTCAGCTCCCTGCTAATGCTCCTGAGAAAACAGCAGAAGATGGTCCAAGTACATGTGCCCCTGCACCCATGCGGGAGACCTAGAAGAATCTCTTGGTTCCTGGCTTTGGATCAGCCCAGCTTCAGCTGTTGCAGCCATTTGGGGAGTGAATCAACAGATAGAAGATTTCTCTGCATCTCTCTTTCTTTTTCTCTCTCCCTCTCTCTCTCTGCAGGTCTGCATTTCAAATAAATAAATCTTTAAAAAAGAAAACACCAGGCATTACAAATCCTCTGTGGCATACCTGGGTCCTGACTTCCCATTCTGTTAAAAGCAAGAGAAAAGCTGAATTCAGCTATATCTGGCCCCTGACAAAGCTCTCTTTCCTGGGAGCACCCTCACCTTTGAAGAATTCTAACCTGGAGTGTTACTGTTGGTTTTTGGTTTGACTGTCTGCTCCCAGGAGACAAAGATGGCTAATGCATATGTAATCCCCTGCCACTTAGGAGACTTACTACAGTATTTAGTCATAGAATTATTTTAAACTTTAAGTTCAATTGGAAATAAAAAGTGCTTAGTGACACAGGAAGGGCTCAACACATGGCAGCATTGTGTCATTCCGTTGACAGCAGGCTCCCATTAAGCAACAGTTGGAGCTTATTGACCTGAAGGGCCAGAAACACATTTCCATCCCCGAACACTGGTATGTATTGTAGGAAACAGCACCCAGTGACTGAGGCCGAGTCTCAGGCTGCCATAAACATGGATCCAGTCAGACAATGGCCCCAGTGCTCTCAACAATGGAGACTGCAGGCAGAAATGATATCGATGAAGAAATACACCTCATGCAGCCAACTACAAGAATTCCCTCTCCAAGATGCACAGGGCTCTTCCATCTTCCCATAATGCTTCAGCTTCTCCTCACGACCCACAGCCACAGAGGAATGACTGGCAATGCCCAAATCATCCACACCTGACTCAACTCTGGTCACCTACACTTCCCCTTTTGACAGATTCCTCATCCAACTGCTTCCAGGCATCTCCAAGTACTGACAGCCCTTTGCTTGCCCTTGTCAGGCACAGTCACAAGGCAGAACCAGGAAAGAACCTGGAGCACTCTACTTTGTCTCCCTGAAGCCCTCACCCCAAATCACATGAGAGGGAAGGGAGTGTTCCCATAAGAATATCCCCATCCCTGTGGGGACAGAAACAACACCCAGATCCACCACGCTTGATCTGGCTCATATACCCAAGAATGGTAGAGCCTTTATGCCCAGAGCCTGAGCCTGCTACAACCATCTGCAGCTGTGTGTGTGTGTGTGTGCGGCAGGTGTCTGCATGGTGTGTGTATGGTGTCTGTGTGGGGTACATGTGTGTATGGGGCGTGTGCTTGTCTATGATGTGTGTGTGTGTGTGGCATGTGTGTGTGTGTCCTTTGGTGTGTGGGGTATGTGCATATATGGGGTATGTGTGTGGTCTGTGGTGCGTGCGTGTGAGGTATGCGTGTATGAGAGAGAACCCTGAGTCTGAAAGGTCTTCACAGCTTCTCTGCTAATTGCTTTGTAAATCAGATGCACAGATAACCCACACTCAGCTCAGGGAATAAAAAGTGGCAAGGAAGCCACAAGCTACGGAAATTCAGAGAACAGAGAAGGCTCTTCCAGTTAGGGTAACGAGGGGAGGCTTCCTGGAGGGCCACCCTATCCTCAGGGCAGAGAGATGTAGACAGAGAAGGTGAGCTGGGAGAGGGGGAGCATGGGGACCCGGAGTCTTCCCACCTGCATGGAGAATGGGGAAGAACCAGAGGAACAGAGGAACGTACTGCTTCAGCGTCTAGACCTCCAGAAAGCACACAGGAGAAACAGTTTACAATTGCATCCTGTGTAATTCTTTCAAAACCTTTTCCTATTGCATGTGACCTAGGAGCAGGTGCGGAACAAGGAATAAGACCCTTTGTTCCAGCCGCTGCTGTATCCGGGCCCTCCAGAGCAGGCCAGTCTCCTGAAACACTGCAGCCCTCACCATCCAAGTGCCTGTTCCAAATCCCTCGGCAGGGCGGCTCGTGCCAGGAAGCCTGCTGCATTCAGATGGCTTCGAGCTGTCTCTCTGGGCAGAAGAAAGAGCACAGGTGGTCTCCAACTATCTATATCCATGTGCAAAGCGATCCACACAGGAAGGCCAAGGGCTAAGAGAAACCCTTTCCAGCATCTTACACTGACCACAGGGACAGGATGCAGCAAGCACCCCAGAGCCTTCCTCGGTGCCAACCCTGGGAAGGGGCTGCACCAGCCTGGTCCTTATCAAGCTGAGCGCCAATGCCATCCAGTGATTTCTATTTTTACTGAAAATCCACCTTCAGCTCTGCACCATGAGAAGATATCCTTTCTGATTTTACATAGGCCAATCTATTTATTTTCCTCAAGAGCAGGTAATGGAATCGCCACTGGATGTCAGACCCAAAATAGGGAATTAAAATGAAAACCAACTTTAAAATGTGACAGCCCTGTCCCACTGGGGAGTTCACATGCCCTTCTGACAGCCAGTGAAAGACCACAAAGCATCATTCCACACAGCTAAAATCCTCCTCGCAAAGGATGCACACTATGGGGCTTTTCTGATTTCTTTGCATTCCCGGTCCTGGATTCCTTGGTCTCCCACAGTCTGCATGGCTGCAGCTGGGGGTTCTTACTTTCCCTGCTTTCTTCTTACAACATCCCCTATCTTTTCTCCAGTCTATGATCGCCCAACAGAAAGAACCAGGTCCAGCACAGAGGGTAGCAGGTGTAGGGAATGACTCCCATCCAGACCAACCCTTCTTTCCAACTGTGGGCAGCAGTGTGTGACCCTCAGAAGTCACAAAAGAGAAAAGGCAACTCATCAACCTTTGAAAACTGGCAGAGATGAAGAAACAGAATTTAGGTTACCAAAGATGAGACCTGAACAGAATCCAGGTTCCTGCAGATTCCCACAAGTGCTCTGGGGCAGGCACTAGGACACATATTAGTTCTAAAGAGCTTGCATTGGGGCAGGCATTGGGGCACAGTGGGTTAAGCCAGTTTGGCATGTATATGTTGGAACCATAGGTTTAGTCCCAGCTACTCTGCTTCTGATCCAGTTCCCTGTTAATGTGCCTGAGAAGGCAATGGAGGATGGTCCAGGTACTTGGGCCCCTGCCACCCATGTGGGAACCTTCATGGAGTTTCTGGTTCCTGGCTTCAGCCTGGCCCAGCCCCAGCTGTCGCAGCCATTTGTGAAGTGAACTAGTAGATGGAAAGCATCAAGATCTCTCTCTCTCTCTCTCTCTCTCCCTCTCTCTCAATCCTTTACCACCCCCATACTCCCTCCCATTACTCTGCCTTTCAAATACATAAATAACAAATACACCTTTAAAAAAAAAAGGCTGGCATTGCTCTTTGCCACCACTTACACCCGTCTATTCTTCCCCAAAGTATGACTTGACCCTGGGAATCACATCTCCCTTGATGTGTCACGGGTTAAAACTTCTAACATCAGCAAATACCTTATATTTCTCAGAGATGTATTAATCCCTAAGCGTAAAAGATCATCCATGTGTGCATTCCCTAAGAGTTTGAGTAATTTTAAATATTGAGGCTTTTTTCCCTTTGTCTTGCACATACTCCAATAATTTTTCAAAAACCTCAAAACTGAATCATTCCCTCAAGAGACGCCACACTTCTCTTTCTCCTGTGCCTTCTCACTTAGCAGGAGTTTTTGGCCCCAGTGACTAGAGTAAGGGGGACTCAAGAAGTGTGTAGCTACAATTTTTCTAGGGCCACAAGGGCCCAGGGCCTGAGGCCCAGGGAGACAGGAAGGTGTTGGACAGGCACATTAGGAGGAGGGGGACAGCAGGGCCCAGTTTCCCAGATGTCCCGAGGCAGGGCGTGAGAGGCGCAGCTGGGCTCCCATGGCTCAGGTGCCAGGGACCAGTCCTGCCAGTGAAGAAGAGGTGGCAAATAAACCTCACGCCTCTTTCATCTTCATGGTCTCTGGTCCACTTTGTTTTCAGCAAACCAAGCGAAAAGCTGGGAAGTGAGCTCCCCCTGCCATGTGCCCCACACTGCAAATTGCTGCGAGCAGGACACGAGCACCCTGAGGATGTCGGCCTGTGCCTTTGAAATCTCCCCTCTTCAAAAGAAATGATTCATCAGCTGGTGCGACTGCAGCAGCTCCGTGAGGCTCCCAGGAGGAATGCTAAGTGAACAAACCTTAGCTCAGAGTAGGAAAACGTCCTCCTACCCTGCTGCTTGTGAGCGCGAGCCCCAGTCTTCCTGTGTGCTGTTTCTCACAACAATCTCTCACCTATCAGGTGGGCCCAGGCTTCAGTCTAAGCAGCAGCCAGCCCTGAAGGCCTTCAAGGAGACTGTGGTGCAAAGCAGGGAAAGAGGAGGTACAAGGGGCCAATCTATCTGCAGAGCTGTCTCTCTGGGAAGACAGCCTGAAGCCACACAGCTCCACTGCCCACAATGGGACTAGGTTCACACCTACCAATGCCTCAAGGCACCAAGCATGTCAGCTAATGACAGGATGCTGAATATAAGCTCGTATCCACTCCCAGTATGCATGAAGTGGATTGGAGTCCATTGGAGAGCCGGCCTCAGAAGCATAGGCTGGCCACGGCCACCACACCTGACACACAAACACCTGATCCAAGCGGGCATTTGGCACAGCTATTAAGTTGCCAATTGGGACATCCACATGCCCTATGAGAGTACCCAGGTTCAATTCTTGGCTCCTCTCTCTGGTCCTGTTCCGGTTTCCTGCTAATGCCCACCCTGGGAGGCAGCAGGCCATGGCCTCAGGACTTGGGTAGCCGCCATTCACATAGGAGAACTGGATTGAGTTCCATGTTCCTACTTTGGCTTGGCCTAGCCCTGCTGTTGCAGGCATTTGGGGAGTGAACCAGCAGATGGGATAGCTCTCTCTATCCCTCTGCCTTTCAAATAAATAAATATTTTCTAAGCCAAAAAGCCAACACTTTATTGAGCCTCCCTAATATGAGAGCTGCTATTCCATGCACAAGAAATGTTAATGCATATGATCAGTCTTCAAAAAGTTCATGGATAATGCATACCATTAAAAAAAAAAAAAACTATGCAGGGCTGGCATTGTGGCATATCAGCTTAACCCACCACCTGCGACACTGGCATCCCACATGGGCACTGGTTCGAGTCCCAGCTGCTTCATTTCCAATCCAGCTCCCTGCTGGTGGCCTAGAAAGGGCAGTGGAAGATGGCCCAGGTGCTTGGACCCCTGCTACCCATGTGGGAGACCCAGAAATACTCTAGGCTCCCACCTTCAGCCTGGCACAGCCCCAGCCGTTGTGGCCATTTAGGGAGTGAACCAGTAAATGGAGGATCTCTCTCTGTCTTCTGTCTCTCCATTTCTCTGTAGCTCTGACTTTCAGATAAATAAATGAATCAAAAAAAAAAAAAAAAAAAACAACAAAAACATGTAACTGTAACAACAAAATAACTTTGCCTTTTAATTCCATTTTCTGCAAACTTTTCAAAGTACCCTATTATGGTGAAATTCACCGAGTGTGGCTAGATCTCTGGAATGTTCATCCTAAGGTGGAAAATTAGAATTGAATGAAATCATTCCATTGTAAACACTTGACAGCAACTTTTTAAAAACCCACTGTGCAAGTCAAACAAAAATGTGTCTGTGGGCCGAATGTGGTCCACAAGCCGAGTTCTTGAAATCTCTGACCTATGGTTTTTTTATTCTAGGAAGACTTCCATCCCCAGAGGCCCTTGTCAGGGTGAGTAATTGTCGCAGCAGGCTCTCTCAGCAGGTTGGGGCTGGAGCCTATAAGGACACTCACCCCACTGTTTCGCTTAGTGATGGTTATTATGAATGGAATTCACTATTACTATTTTGACAGCGCTATCAACAAAGGATTTTGTAAATATTGAGCTCCTGAGACTTCATTACTCACTGAATTTTAAAGCTCCTCGAAGACATAATTGACTGAAGATAACCGTCTCTATTGCCCGGTTAAAGCCACCACATGCACCTCTGTTCAACCACATGAGACTGGCCCAGCACCTGCCATCTTACCTCCATGGTATGGGTTTTTCCTGATGAAGTCTGCCCATATGCAAAAATTGTCCCATTATAACCTTCAAGGACATCTGTGAATGAGAAAAAAAAAATGTGTTTAATGAACTCATTGATGCTGGTGTTGGTTGCAGCACATTTGAAAATTACATTTTCCAAATGATCCATCTCACGTTTCAGACAAATGATATATTTCAGCACCATGTGCATTGTATGTGAAACTGTGAGATAAGAGCAGAAATGAAGGACTCCACTGTTCCACAAATGGAAAGAAATGGACTCACATTTCTACAGGAAGTTTGGAAGAAGGAGGAGGCACTCTCTCTCCCAGCAACCTCAAAATTCAGATGGAGACATGGGGCAGAAAACTTTTGTTTTGGCAGAAGAATATCTGCATTTTCTTCCATAAGTTGACTTCTTGAGCTCAGTTAGGGAGGGGCAGACACATTATCTGTAACCAAAGTGTCTGCAGTGAGGTCTGGAGTAGAAATTCTTGCCTGCAGATTTGATCTGCATCAGTTTACACCCTGGCCCACAACAGCTGCTTGGGGAGGCGACTCATGAAGACCCCACCGGACCCCAGAACACACTGGCCTCCAGCTGGGGCAGGAGTGAGGCCCCTGGCTCTGTAAACCGAGCCCCACGGTGACAATCCAATCGGCCTGGAAACCAGCCGGGGTCCTGACTTGGACTTAATGCATCTGTGTTTTCGGTGGCTGTGCTAGGAACTGGCCTGGGCCCCTCGGCACCGGGAACTGCTTTTAATTACACAATGAGCACACTGTCTGAACCCCTTCACCACCACCAAAGCAGGCCGGACTCCGTTTTGTACAGGAATGAGGGGAGGCGTGGAGGAGGCTGCTTTTTGCTGAAGAGCTGGAGATCATCTGGGAATTCCTTCAAAGCAGCAGAGGCAATTAAAGTATATTCCCTCCTGCCTTCCTCCTCCCCCCACACAAACATCACTGAAGGAGAACAATGGGTAATGAGTATCCTGGACCTGCCGCCATGGTGCAGGAGGGGAGCGAGCCTTCCTGCGCACAGGGATGGCGGGGTGGCAGGGCAGGGAGGAGAACCCTACGCCAGGGGGACCTCTTCAGGGCCTACAGAAGCCAGGCAGGCAGGCCTCTCTGTGTCCTTCAGGCCCTGAACAGATTGGGGCTGGGAGGGGGGATGGGCTCTGCCTCTGTTGTGCTTTGTTGAGTTAAAAAAAAAAAAAATTAAATATACATTTTACAGCTATGAGGTTCTTGGAGTGTGGAACTGTGATCGGAAAAGAAAGTGGGACTTTTCTTTAGGAAGCTAAAAAAAGAAAAATTAAATGGCAGGGTGCTTTTTAAATCCTAGCAACCCTTAAGAATTTCCATCACGGGTGGGCATTTAGCCTGTGGGAAAGATAGTAGTTAAGATGCCTGTGTTGAGCCGGCGCCGTGGCTCAATAGGCTAATCCTCCACCTTGCGGCGCCGGCACACCGGGTTCTAGTCCCGGTTGGGGCGCCGGATTCTGTCCCGGTTGCCCCTCTTCCAGGCCAGCTCTCTGCTATGGCCAGGGAGTGCAGTGGAGGATGGCCCAGGTGCTTGGGCCCTGCACCCCATGGGAGACCAGGAAAAGCACCTGGCTCCTGGCTCCTGCCAGGATCAGCGCGGTGCGCCGGCTGCAGCGGCGGCCATTGGAGGGTGAACCAGCGGCAAAGGAAGACCTTTCTCTCTGTCTCTCTCTCTCACTGTCCACTCTGCCTGTCAAAAAAAAAAAAAAAAAAAAAAAAAAAAAAAAAAAAAAAGATGCCTGTGTTTCTCATCCAGGATACCTGGGTCTGATTCTCGGATCCCACTAATGTGTACCTTGAAACAGTGGTGCTGGCTCAAGTGACTGGATTCCTGCCATTCATGTGAGAGATGTGGATTGAGTTCTGAGCCCCCAGCTCCCAACTTCAGCCCCAGCCCAACCCCAGCCATTTCAGGTTCTCATTCTCTCTCTCTCTTTCTCACAAATAAATCAATTTTTTTAAGTTCTTGTTAATTTTTAGCTTTATTATACTTATTTGAAAGGCAGAAGAGCAGAGCAAAAGAAACAGAGGCAGACAGACAAAAAGAGATCACCCATCTACTGGTTCACTCCCCAAATGTTCTCAACAGCCAAGGCTGGGCCAGGCTAAAGCCAGGAGCCTGAACTCAATCCAGGTCTCCTACATGGGTAGCAGGGACCCAAGTACTTGAGCCATCACCCAGAGTACACATCAGCAGAAAGCTGGAATGGAAAGCAAAGCCAGACTCGAACCCAAGGCTTTCTGATATGGGATGTGGGTGTCTCAACGAGCAGCTTAACCACTGTACTGAATGTCCAGCCCTAAAAAGATTTTTAAAAGAATTTGCATTTAGCTTTTTAGCTTATTCAGAGAGAGCGAGAAAGAGAGAATATTCACACATACCAGACTTCTGGTCATGTTTTCCTGGTGATAACAAGAAGCAAAAACTTAGAGCAATGAGTGTTCAGGTTAGAGCTTCAGGTCTCAGTTTTCATGAAAATGCCAACTTGCTCAGAACAAAGAGTCCTCAGGCCAGAAGACAGTGGCCGGAGCAGGGTGCTTGCACACCACCATAGACCTAATGTGCTCTGGGGGACCATGGCTGGACTTGCAAATTCTATACTTGTAACACAAACCACTCCAGGCACCTGGAATCCTGGCCACCACAATACTAAACCTTCTGCTGATTAGATACCCCAAACTCAGAGTGCCCTCCTTGTAAACCCCTGTGTCTGAAATGCCCTGGGACCCACAGTCCAGGTGTTAAGGATTGCTAATGACACAAAGGCCATGGTCAGGCTCCCTCTCCAGTTTGCAGCCTGTTGTCTGTCTGCCACTGCAAGTGCCCGTACTCCCAGAATGCCCCAGAGCGGTGGCTCTGAGCAACCACTGCACCCTAAAGGAAATAGCTCAGAGTTCAGGACCTGATGACAAGATAGAGACCAACATGCTTCTTCCTCTGCCAGGAGGCAGCAGTTGGGCACCAGAATTAGGCCACACCAGAGGCCCCCCAGGCGAGTCTCCCCCAAGACCAGTCTCACTGCACAGGGGCAACCTCCCACTAACACCACTAACACCTGCTGGCTGCTGCTCGTGCAACCCTTGCAGGCTGAGGACTGCTTCACGTGGCATCATTTGTTTGGGGCAAAAGCACCAAGAAGCATGTAGGATTGTCTTGGGGCATCCTGGTTTTCAGTGCTATTATGCACAATTTCTTTTTTACTTTTCTTTAAAACAAAAAGAAAACACATAAAACCCCATTAGAACAAACTCCACGTGGCCTTTAAAGTACTTGCAGTAAAGTAACCACTAATTCATCCTGGGAGAATCTTTCTCCGAAGTTCAAGGTTGGACAGCGCTGAGGTTGCCCTCTGTCGACTCAATGCTAAGCCAGAAGATAATTTACAAAGACAAGATAAAGCTCTGTGAACCCACGTTCTTTATATTCGTCCAAACCCCAGGTTGGGGAGGTTTTCTGCTTGTATGTTATCTCAGTGCATGGATTCTGTTGAGCAGGGAGGCGAAGCATGGAGGGGAAGTGCAGCACAAAGGTTTGTAGGGGCAAGAGGAGTGGGGAGCCACAGAGCTGGCTGGGAGGACCACACGTTGAACCAAACAACGGCCTCACTCACCACCACCAGAAACAGCCCACAAACAGCCACTTTCATCACACTGAATGACAGTTCCTGGGCCCAGGGAATGCATTTGTCTTAGACTCAAACAGTGACTGTTTTCTACGCGTGGCCACACTCAGCCAGACAGAACCTTTCTTTGTGATGGGGTCTGGTGTGATATGATCTCAACTCACACCACCCAGCCCACAGAACCCCACAAACACAGCGCATGTCCATACCCAGCCAGCCAAACCCCAGAGACAGCTTCCACTGTGGGTGCCAAGTACCTTCTCATCTCCTAAGAGAAGAGGGTAGAAGAGGGGAAACTTGAAAACTTGCATTGTTTCCTTGTTGCAGATTCAGAAGCCAAGGCTGCCATCCTTGGTTCTGCTCAGTTCTGAGGCCAGGTCTTGCAATAGAAGCATTAGTTCCATGGCCAGGTAAGAACTTGGGTAGGATGTGATCAGACCTACACATCAGCGATGCCACCAACTCTCCAGACAAAATGGTGGCACCAGCATTTCTGGCAACAGCTGCAGACAAGCCACCCTCTTCTTAGACTATTATGACTCTTGCCATGCACCCAAGCTACTCAAGCAAGCTACAATGCAAAAGGCAGAGGCGGTGATGCTGAACACCACTGGCCAACCAGAAGGCCAAGCTGCCCAGCCTGCAGGGCAGTCACTGTGTCCAGGCCAGGGCACAGGCATTTCAGAATGGGGACACACCTCATCACGGCAGACCCCTGGGACCCCCACCTGGTTCTGGAACCACTATTCTGTCTCCTCTATTCTCCCATACTCATTCCCTTCCCTGTCTTTTTGCAATGTCTAGTGAATAGTCCATAGAGCCTGATGAAAAAGGACCAACTCAGAAATAATAAGCATTAAACACTCATCATGGGCCCACAGAAAAATAGAGCAGGGAGGAGCAAAAGAATGTAGATCAATCAACCAAACACCAGCTTGAGACCCAACCCCACTGCCCCTCACCGACTTGCCCAAGCTACATCTCCCTCAGCCTCAAATTCCTCATTAGTAGAAAGGGAATCTGACTCTTTGATGGGTCCACACTGCCTACAGGATAAAGTCCATCAGCTTCCAATAAACTCAGATCCAGCCTAACTCCACACTTGACCTTGGCCAAAAGGCCAAGAAGCAGTTCTAGCCTAACTCTTTCAGCCTCATCTCCCACACCACTCTGAACCCCGTGCTGCTGCAAGCTGCCTAAATGTACCATCTAATCTGCGCCTTTACACTTTTGCAATCCCCTCAGCTTGCGCAGCTCTGCTGTCTTCTAAAGTCCTCAGCACCCAGTGCTTCCAAGAAGCCATCTTTAACTCTCCATTCCCTCTCCCCACCCACCAGGATCAGTGTAAAGCAACACCCTCCCGTGCTCCTGCAGCAGCTCGCACATGCCCACTTGAGGTACATAATGCCTAGGTGTGTGATAATTACAGATGTGCTGCCTCTTGCCCTATATTCAAAGCTCCTTGCAGATGGTCTTAAATCTCTTGGTGCCTCCAGTCCCGGGAGGAGTGGGGGTGGGAAGAGGCTTACCACATGGTAAGTACTTAACACCACTTGAACAAAGTTGGAAGAAATCAGAACTAGAAGACAAGGAGTCACTTCTGGCTTCTGAATGGTCCACAGCTAGTCTACATGGAAGGCAAATGCCCAGAGTAGCTTCCGTAGGCCTGGACAGAGTTACTGGTACTTCAACAACAGCATCCAGTAACCATTGTACATTATTCCTAGACATCCACAAAAGCCTTCCTGCTATTTACTGTGCTGGTAGTCACACGCCCTGTAACCTCTTCTCCAAAACTTGGAGAATTCCACATGCCCTTTCAGACATTTTGAAAAACACACACCAAACAAAGATGGGAACATGGGAGATGTTGGGACTCGATAATCTAAATTTTTTTTAAGTCCAATGAAGTTGTACAGAATAAAAAAGCAGAGATAATGAAGCCATCCAATCAGAGTTATACAAATCCTCAAAACCATTGAGGATTTCCATAGACTTAAAAGGAAAGCACAGCAGCCTCCCCAGTACCATGAGTCACAGGGACTCTGGTGACCTTCAGAAGTCCTCTGATCAAACTCTTGGCTTCTAGAGAACAATGACCCCACAGCACCACCTCCCAGTACTAATTTCAATAGGACTCTTCATAGCAAGAGACACCCACACACACACACACACACACACCAGGGTGTGCTTGGCCATGCCTTCTTCTGTATCTACGTTTTATCTTGCTGCTGCAGAAATAGGTGGCCACTCTCCCACACACTAGCCTCAGTGGATATTTTGAAAAGTTCAGTTGGGCTTTCATCATTCCCCTAAAAATTTCTTCTCAAGAGAGAATAAAGCACTCTTCATTGCTGCCAAGCGAATATGCTCATATTTTATTTACGGTGTCCTAGAAATGTCTGTTTACCGTATCACGTCAGAATCTGATTCATTCCACATGGTTTTCTTAGTGGCTCGCCATACATTGGGTCTCAGGTTATCCAGAGCCAGCTCACACCTTCCCCAGACCTCCCCAGGGACTGCCTATGGACTCTTCACACTGCCAAAAAATACAAACACCAAAAGGTACCCCAACTTCTCTAAGAAAATGAAGACTCAGAGTTTTAGTATTGTTCATTAATTGCAGGTTTTTAGAGTGGACTGCATCCACTTCTAATTACACCAGCATAGAAGGGGAGAACTATACTTAAATTGACCATGCTTAGCACAGCATGTGGTAAACATTAATTGCTTCTGATGGTGAAAGGGGAGAGAAAAAGAAGGAAATTCTGGCACATATGTGATTAATGTGAATACTCTAATAATAGAGAGGAATGAGGGGAATCAGAGTTGAGCAGGAGCAAACCAAGAAAGACATACATATCTCTGCGAATGAGAGAGAGAGGGAGAGAGAGAGAGATTGAAAGAAACATGTTTAAATAGAAAGAGAAGCAAAAGAGTGCAAGTAGAGAGAAGACAAAAATTACCACCAGAGAGAGGAACAGTTTAACTCAAAAAGAGCTCAAATTCAGGCATATTTTTTTCCTCTTCAATTTTCTATAATAGTCTCACTGTGAAGACCTTCAAAATTAATTGATATCTGCACAAGAATGTGAATAACCATACACCTCAGCAAGGAACATTACATACTGATGCGAGTCTCCCACGCAGGTGTCCAGGGTCAGAATTAATCTAACAGATGTACCCAGGGTTGATTTTCATGAATTTCAAATAGTGAGGTTAGTCAGCTCAGGTTCTAAAAACACGCAGATCTAAAATGACAAGGTATATTTTTGGTTTTGTTTTTACTTTTTGCTTTTTAAAATATAGAGATACCTATACAGGTGGCAAGCATCAAGACCTGTGAAAGCACAGTTGCCGTGGCACTCCAATGTGAAGGCAAGGATTTGAAGATGAGAAGCAGGGTAGCAGGAGATGCCCCAGCTCTGTGCAGATGGCAGCCTCGCCAATGCAAGCTCCAACCTGCCCCCGATTGGAAAGGGCAAGGCAGAGCAACGAGTAAATTGCTTCATCTCCCTGCTGTTATTCTGACATGAATCCTCCAGGGCCAAGGCCAGTGACAGAGACAAGGACCAATCTCTAAGATACAAATATAGGCTTGAGGCTACCTGTTTACAGGAACAAATGACAGAGTCCGGATGGGTTAGTAGAAAGTGGGTTACATGAAAACATAATTTAGGAGCACCAAGGAAGAGGAACAGCACTGTAATGAAAAGGGTAATGTGATTTTATGACTCGATGGCCAGAATTTTCCACATTAAGGCTTCTTTCTGAGATGTATTAGCAAAACAGGAGACAGGTGCATTTATTCAACCCACCAAACATGTACAATGGGAGCATTAGGATACATATTTTCTTCCTTAAAGAAAAGAGATTTTATGCTCAACAGTATTTTTAAACTGCTACAGAAATAGTGTGACCATGGCTTACTTTCCATTTAAGCTTTTAGGTGACAGAATAACTCTGCCACAAAAGGTGGCAAAAGAAATAAAGAACTCTCCTTGGAAAGGAGCTAAAAAGAGACTAAATAACTTGCCTGACATCATAGCAAATCAAGGCCAGAGCCAAGGCTATAATTCAGTGTTTCCAATTAGCGGGCCTCTGCTTACAGTCAAGGCACACTGGTTCCTAGGCTGCAAATATCACTTAATGTTTTCAATTACTCTGAAAGGCCCAGGAGGAAATAAAGCAATAGCACTTACCTTTGACAATCTGCTTCGCACACGCATTGTAAACCTGCTCTTGGGTTGTGTTGGGCGGCAGCACCCTGTCAAAGACATATGGCTTCCCTTGCTGAAAAAGACAGACAAAAGAAAGAAAAGGGTGGGGGAAATACATTAGAAGTTTAGGTATCAAAAGCACCAATGTTAGTAGTTAGACCACAGGTACTGAATCATCAGCTGCCTTCTTTAAGTCTGTCCCTTACCAAGACTAGGGGATTTTTACAGCATGAATCACACATGCATTATGCATCTGTCATCAGATGTAGACAGTCTGAGAGCTACTTTGAAACACTTTTAGATGAAAGGTAGGCTCTGGCTTCCTTCAGCCATTCGAATAAATATTTATTGGGAGCTTACACCAAGCCAGGCATGGACTATGTGCTGAGCAAATCAGAAAATACTCCTTGAGCACGACCAAACTAAGTGGAGCAGACAGCAGATAAGCAATAAAGCAAACACACGTGAAAATGCAAAATAGGGGCCGGCACCATGGCCCAGTAGGTTAATCTTCCGCCTGCGGCACCAGCATCCCATGGGCAACGGTTCTGGTCCCAGCTGTTCCTCTTCCAATCCAGCTCTCTGCTGTGGCCTGGGAAGGCAGTAGAAGATGGCCCAAGTGCTTGGGCCCTGGCACCCACATGGGAGACCGGGAGGAGACACCTGGTTCCTGGCTTCGGATCAGCGCAGCTCCAGCCATTGTGGCCATTTGGGGAGTGAACCAATGGAAGGAAGACCTTTCTCTCTGTCTCTCCCTCTCACTGTCTGTAACTCTACCTCTCAAATGAATAAACAAAATCTAAAAAAAAATGCAAAATCATAAGGTATAAAGTGACTGGATAGAAGGATGGCACGCAGAGCAAGGAAGACCTTGCTGAAGAAGTAAATCTTTAAAAGATGTCAACGATCAAGGCTCATGCAGAGTTGTGGAAGAACATTGCAGGCAGAGGGCCAAACAGATCCCAAAGGGTCTGCGGTCTTCAAGGGATCAGGGGGTGGTGCAAGATGAGGTAGGCCGGGAAATCAGGGCCAGTTCATACAAGGCTCTGTTAGCCAAGGTAATGTGCTTGGATTTTCTTCAGTGGGAAGATGACACAATCAGATCTCAGTAGTTGAAATGTCCCAAAGAATGCCTAAGAGGTGCCTTTTTTTTTTTTTAACAGGCAGAGTGGGAAGTGAGAGAGAGAGAGAGAGACAGAGAGAAAGGTCTTCCTTTTGCCGTTGGTTCACCCTCCAATGGCCGCCGCGGCCGGTGTGCTACAGCCGGCACATCGCGCTGATCCGAAGCCAGGAGCCAGGTGCTTCTCCTGGTCTCCCATGCGGGTGCAGGGCCCAAGGACTTGGGCCATCCTCCACTGCACTCCCGGGCTATAGCAGAGAGCTGGCCTAGAAGAGGGGCAACCGGGACAGAATCCAGCACCCCGACCAGGACTAGAACCTGGGGTGCCGGCGCCGCAGGCGGAGGATTAGCCTATTGAGCCTCGGCACTGGCCCTAAGAGGTGCCTTAACTAGGTTGAGGCTTTCAAGACAAACAGGGCCATCTACACAAGAAATCAAGAGTTTTTTCCAGGTCTTGGGATTTGGTTTGATGCTGCACCTGTAGAACTCACGGAAATAACCGGTGGAGAGGAAGGGAAGATGCCCTACCAGCCCACTGCATGAGCCCTGGTGCCCAGTCCTTCAGTGTTCCACAAGGAGCTATTGCGCAGTGCCACAGCAGGCACAGTGTGAACAGAGGAGTGGTGTGGCAGACAGAAATCAGCCCCCTCCTGGGAGGAGGGGGCCGGGGGATCCATCCTCACGCCTCTATTCTCCACCAACACAGCCCAAGTAGGGGCAGCCCTCTCCTGCCCCTTCCCCCAGTCCCCTCTCGGAGGCCCTTCATCTTCATTCTGACCACGTGGCAGAGGGTAGGGCAGAAGAAAAACACGAAAGAGACAGACTCCTTCACTCCCACCCTGCACCTCCTATGGCTGGCTCTGGGCACCAGGAAGCACCCAAGGACAGTCTGACTCTTCCAAAAGATAACTGCTCTGAGGGCTCCATGGCAGGGCTTGTTACATCCTGCAACCTTCACACAAGTACACTGTCCAGTTGGCTTATCATCCGGCCACTTATCACCATGGGTACACTGGAGGTGACATCCTGTGCTTTAGGCCTCATCTTGAGCTCTGGTCTTTGAAAATGTGACTGAGCCAGCCAGGTAAATGGTCTCAGAAAAATGGAGAATTTTCATGTGTCACGACATTCTGTTCTTATGCAAAGCGACAAAACCAGAGTCATTCTGCTAAAATTATGGAAAATTAAGGGGTCATTTCCTGACGTTTTGTTCCCAGCAAATCTCCCTTAGTGAACCAAGTATTTGGTTGAAGAATGAAAGGAATATTCCTCATCACAATCTATTGCCAACTCTCAGCCTCTACATTCTTATTAGCTTTTTTTTTTCTTTTTGACAGGCAGAGTGGACAGTGAGAGAGAGAGACAGAGAGAAAGGTCTTCCTTTGCCGTTGGTTCACCCTCCAATGGCCACCGTGGCCGGCGCGCCATACTGATCCAGAGCCAGGAGCCAGGTGCTTCTCCTGGTCTCCCATGGGGTGCAGGGCCCAAGCACTTGGGCCATCCTCCACTGCCCTCCCTGGCCACAGCAGAGAGCTGGCCTGGAAGAGGGGCAACCGGGACAGAATCCGGTGCCTCGACCGGGACTAGAACCCGGTGTGCCGGCGCCGCAAGGCGGAGGATTAGCCTAGTGAGCCGCGGCACCGGCCCTTATTAGCTTTATCCATTGGTCAAATTCAATTCCATGTCAGTACGGTAAAAGGTAAGAACAAACTTTTTTAGAGTTTGTGTATCATCCATTAAACCTTCTGGAAAGAAAATGCAGTTTTGCTTAATTCATTTCTATTTCTCCAGACTTAATGAGAATCACCAAAATAAATAAACCATCTTGTTTACAACATGATTTTATTTTTGAACTGCAGAGAAAATGCTCTTAATGAAATAATAAAAATGACCTACTAAGTTGTAGTATATGATACAAATAATTAGATTCTCTAACTTTGCTTTTCGATTTTTTTAATGGTTTTTTGTTTTTACGTTTTGTGTTGAGAGGCAGAGAGAGACAGAGTGTTCCAATCTGCTGATTCACTCCCTAAATGCCCATAAGAGCTAGGACTGGGAAGGATCAAAGCCAGGTGCCAAGAACTCAATCCAGGTCTCGCACATGGGTGTCAGGAACTAAATTACTTGACCCATCACAGCTGCCTCCCAGGGTACACATCATCAGGAAGCTGGAATCAGGAGGGGAACGAGATTCAAACAGGCACTCTGGATGCAGGTATACCAAGTGGCTTCTTACTGCTAGGACAAATGCCCACCCCGTTCTTCAGTTTAGAATGTCCACTGGTATAGATTATACTTCCATTTTTAAAAGAAAGTTGGAGAGCAAGAAATTCATGTTTGTTTAAATAATATAATTTATCAAGTGACAAATAACAATAATTTTCCTTAACTAAAAGTCAACTCCCAGAGATGTCTTCAAGTCATTATGAATAAATTGATATTGAGAAAATATGAAATTTACAAACTGATTTGTTATAATACTTGTCTTGTCAGGATAAACATATCAAGTAGTTCAAAATGTAAACAGGGTAGGCATTGTGGTACAGGGAGTTACTCCACCACTTGGGATGCCCTAATCCCATATCAAGTGCCAATGTAAGTCACAGATACTTAGCCTCCAATCCAGCCTCCTGCTAATGCACCTGGGAGGTAGCAGGTGATGGCCCAAGAATTTGAATTCCTGTCACCCATGTGGAAGGCCTGGATGGAGTCCCTGGTGCCTAGCTTTGGCCTGGCCCAGCCTTGGTTCTTGCAGGCATTTGGGGAGTGAACCAGTGGATGGAAGATCTCTTTGTCTCTTTCTCTGTATCTATCCCTCTCTCTCTGCCACTCTGCCTTTTAAATAAAAACATAGATCCTTTAAAAAAAAAAAAGTAAACATTTTTATGTGTCCTTTCATGCACTGAATTAGTTATAGGCTTTTGTTTTTGATGAAACTTAACATCTTGGAAAAGACTGATTGGGATTTAGTTACTGAGCATTTTCAGAGAACTGACCTGTAACACAGCTGTACCAGCTGAATACACAACTGCCATTTGAAAAAACATCAACACTGGGCTGGCACTGTGGTACAGCAGGTTAAAGCCAAGGCCTGCGGTGCCAGCTGCAGGTATGGGTGCTGGTTCTAGTCCCAGCTGCTCCTCTTCCAGTCCAGCTCTCTGCTGTGGCCTGGGAGAGCAGTGGAGGATGGCCCAAGTCCCTGGGCCCCTGAACCCGCATAGGAGACCAGGAGGAGGCTCCTGGCTTCTGGCTTCAGCTCTGGTTGTTGTGGCCATGTGGGGAATGAACCAGTAGATGGAAGACCTTTTTCTCTGTCTCTCCCTCTCACTGTCTGTAACTCTACCTCTCAAATGAATAAATAAAATCTTTAAAAAAAAAATCAATACAAATTACTCTTTGCTACTTCAGTAATGGAATGAAAATCTCACAAGTCCTGACTGAGACTTAAAGATGTCCCCCTCCCCCACAGTCCCCAAGGAGATAGGAACCTCTCTGTTCACTGTCCCACCATGGCTGAGTAGTTCTGCAGGCAGGCATTGGGCCAGCGTGCTATTGTGATCCTGAGTTTATAGCTATGGAAAAGACTTTTCAATTACATTTTAACATGGGCGCTAGCAACAAACACGTGGAACTGAACAACGAGGTCACTGTTGACTCCTTCTGGAGACACTTTTCCTTTCTGCATTCTGCACATGAATTCTCTCCAAGTTCTCTGGCTGACTCTAGCAGTGTCCTTTGCTGGTGCCTCTCTAAGGTGTCTGAATGACCAGGTATTGAGGGCCAGACCTATACCTCCTCTCTGCTGACACTCCTGACCTTTAGGTAATTCACATGAATACTTCAGCCTTGATCTCTCATCAGTCCTTCAGATTTACCAACCTACAAGACATTTCCTCTTGGGTGTTCATGGGCCATCTCATAATTGGCTGACAAAAAGAGAGCCATTAAGCCCT